AAACATTAAACCATAAAAGAGTCCATCTGTTCAGAGGTGTTTTCATTCAGTGAAATGACTATCAGGTGTCATTGCCTGCCCTGTTTTATTTAAAGAACAGGGATCTATCAAAGTCTGATCATGTTTGTGGAAGTGAATCATGGCACGAAAAAAGGAGATCTCTGAGGACCTCAGAAAAAGAGTTGTTGTTGCTCATCAGGATGGAAAAGGTTACAAAACCATCTCTAAAAAGTTTGGACTCCACAAATCCACAGTCAGACATATGTACAAATGGAGGAAATTCAAGACCATTGTTGCCCTCCCCAGAATTGGTCTACCAACAAAGATGCAAGACATGTAATTGTCCACAAGGTCGCAAAGGAACCCAGGGTAACTTCTAAGCAACTAAAGGCCTTTCTCACATTGGCTAATGTTCATGAGTCCACCATCAGGAGAACCGCAGCAAGAGTCTTCAACAACGAATGGTTAAAGAAGAAAAATGTTAATGTTTTGAAATGACAGAGTCAAAGTCTGGACCTTAATCCAATTGAAATGTGGAAGGAGCTGAAGCAAGCAGTTCATAGGAGGAAACCCACCAACATCACAGAGTCGAAGTGTTTCTGTACTGAGGAAGGGGCTAGAATTCCTACAAGCCGATCAGCAGTTACAAGAAACATTTACCTGCAGTTATTGCTGCAAAAGGGGGTCAGACCAGATACTGAAAGCAAAGATTCACATACTTTTGCACTTTTTTTCAATAAATAAATTACAAAGAAAATATTGTCTCATTTCTCATTTGTTGTTCTCTTTGTCTACCTTCAGGACTTGTGCAAAAATCTGATGATGTTTTGGGTCATATTTCATATTTAATATAGAAAATTGTAAAGGGTTCACAAACTTTCAAGCAGCACTGTACGGAATGTTAAAGAACGCGACACATACGTCTCCCGGTAATCCTGTATAATTCAACCAATCCGATGACAACATTGAAACTCCTGAAGTGTTTCCAATTTTGTGTGCCATATGCATCAGATGTTCAGCCAACGGTCCGTGGGCGTGAGGTCTGAGGCTGAATGAATGAATGAACGTGACAAGAGTAAGGAGAGATGACTGACAAGACCATAGTGGAGGATTCGTTGTGCAACAGATCCTAAAGCCTTGTTCAGACCAGGGGCGCCGTAAGGGGGGAAGGTTGGGACAAGGGAGAGGGGCCCGGAATGTGATTTTTACCAAGGGGGACACTGTTCAGGGTGCCCAGAAACCATAGTGACATCCCTGGTTCAGACTGTCAGTCCAAATCCGATTTTTGTTCATATCCGATTGGGATCTGAACAAAATGATCGACTGTCCACACTGTGTATCGCAACTGCTCAATTCCGATTTGTGTGTCCATGGTACTCTTTCATTTTACTCGGTATCTGCATTGGTTTCTATGGCCATTGCGTTGTTATGTAAAACAACAATAACAGCAATACAGTTTGCAATACACATGTTGTATTATGACAACATGCAGCATCGCGCTGGATTATTTAGTTTTATGAGGCAGCAGCAGAAACACAGGAAGTTGGAATGCTTTCCGTGCTGCGGTCTCTGCTGGTTTCAAAACTCAAAGAGTTGCGTATTCTAGCAGTATATTGTCTTTTTCTGCTGGACTTGCACTTCACAACAACACAAACTTGTTTCTGCTAAGACGTTCAGCATGTTTTCTACAAAAACGTCTGTCGTGTTTAAGTTTTATGTGGCGTGAGAACATGAAAAAGCTACCCTAAATCCGATCTGACCGGTCAGACTGAAACGGATTTCCAGGAAAGTGATTTGAATACGATTTCAAACCACATGTGAATGTGGCTCGAAACGGATTTGCAAAAATCGGATTTCATGTAGTTTGTTGCCGTTCAGACTATCTAAATATGATCGGATTTCAATCGGATTTGCACAAAAATCGGATTTGGGCTGACAGTCTGAACGAGGCTTTAAAGGCCTCTCTCACATTGGCTAATGTTAATTTTCATGATTCCATCATCAGGAGAGCACTGAGCAACCATGGTGTCCATGGCAGAGTTGCAAGGAGAAAGCCAATCCTCTCCGAAGAGAATATTGCTGCCCGTCTGCAGTTTGCTTAAGATCATATGGACAAGCCAGAGTGCTATTGGAGAAATGTTTTGTAGATGGATGAGACCAAATATAACTTTTTGGTTTAAATGAGAAGCGTTATGTTTGGAGAAAAGAACACACTGCATTCAAGCATAACAACCTTATCCCATCTGTGAAACATGGTGGTGGTGGTAGTATCATGGTTTGGGCCTGTTTTTCTGCATCTGGTCCAGGACGGCTTGCCATCATTGATGGAACAACGAATTCTGAATTATACTAGCAAATTCTAAAGGAAAATGTCAGGACATCTGTCCATGAACTGAATCTCAAGAGAAAGTGGGTCACGCAGCAAGAGTCTTCAACAACGAATGGTTAAAGAAGAAAAATGTTAATGTTTTGAAATGACAGAGTCAAAGTCTGGACCTTAATCCAATTGAAATGTGGAAGGAGCTGAAGCAAGCAGTTCATAGGAGGAAACCCACCAACATCACAGAGTTGAAGTGGTTCTGTACTGAGGAAGGGGCTAGAATTCCTACAAGCCGATCAGCAGTTACAAGAAACATTTACCTGCAGTTACTGCTGCAAAAGGGGGTCAGACCAGATACTGAAAGCAAAGATTCATACTTTTGCACCGCACAGATATGTAACACTGGATAATTTTTTTCAATAAATAAATTACAAAGAAAATATTGTCTCATTTGTTTGATTGGGTTCTCTTTGTCTACCTTCAGGACTTGTGCAAAAATCTGATGATGTTTTGGGTCATATTTATGCAGAAATATAGAGAATTCTAAAGGGTTCACAAACTTTCAAGCAGCACAGTATATATATACATATATATATATTTTTTATATTGTTATTTTCTATTTAATTACTCTTCTTTTTATTATCTTTTATTATCTTGTCTTCTCACTGTCATTCTGTTTGTGCTGTGGAAGCTTCTGTCACCAAAACAAATTCCTCATATGTGTAAACATACCTGGCAATAAAGCTCTTTCTGATTGTGAAACTTTCTATCGTGTCATCTTCACGAGCTGCACGCAAAAAAAAACCTGCATCACAATCATTGTAGTCGAATTCCTGAACCAAAATGGCTGTTTAGTCCTTAGTCCATAAAAAAATAAATATAAACAAACAAATAAGTTAAAAGAGTATCCCTTTGAATCAGTTTGTATCAATTAATAAATAGAGCAATATACAGACTATATCTAATAAATGAAAGGTGCACAGCGGCTCCCCCACTGTGAAACAAAATTCTGTAGTAAACACATGGCACTAGTACTAGGGTACTAGGTTTAAGTATGGGGTGGATTAAGAGATCTAAAATCCTGTCATGCAGAACAAGGCATTAATATATGCTTTATAAGTAATAATAAACTGCCAAGATATTAAACAGATGGGCATAATATCTCCATTTAGTGAAACATAGCATGTACATTATATCTGAAACTTGTATCTGAATATTATTCCTGGGCTTCACTCAAAGGAATTGCTTATTGAGATGACACGCTTTATTCATATAAACATAGATGTAAAGGATTATACTCTGTCAAATACACATTCAGATTCTACAAATAATTGGAATCTATTTACTTAAATGGTATATTTGACATCCTTAATGATCTTGTGTCAATTAAAAAAAAATAAAAATATTAAGTCATATTGTGTTCTGTGGGTCTACTGAACTTTATGGACATTCTTTACTCAGCATCAGTTGCATTTATATCTGTGCCAGTGATAGTCTGCAGCAGTTTAGAAAGGAGGGTGCATCAGATTTTATCATATTTTGACTGCACCGAGTAAGCTGATGAAACCTGCTCGACAACAAGAGGCATTGCCTCAGAGATGTTAACTGCAACAGCATATGGAGGGATGATGAGAGCAGTCTCTGAGTGGGTTTGGCTCACCCAAGCTCAGTTCAGACCAGCCCCGTAGCTTCTAGTAGGCGCGGGCAGCTTGTGAATTACAGGGCCTTTGAGAATAATGTATGCAGTACAAAATGGATGGCAGTAAAACATGGCTACGTGGATTCCCTCAAATAACATCTGATAGAGTCTTTCTCTGAGTCCAGACTCTGGCACAACACAATTGTTTTCATATTCCACTGACACTCAAGCTGTTAAATGCAGACATACTAAAAATGACTAATGCAAACATGTTAAGTTGCAGAGGGTGCTTCCACAGGAATTCTTGCAAAGTACAAGAAGGCCATTGAGACAACAGTGCCATCTCCTGGCTATATTACCTGAATTGTACATAATGCTGTATATATGTGACCCTGGACCACAAAACCAGTCTTAAGTCGCTGGGGTATATTTGCAGCAATAGCCAAAAATACATTGTATGGGTCAAAATGACCAATCTTTCTTTTATGACAAAAATCATTAGGATATTAAGTAAAGATCATGTTCCATTAAGATAATTTGTAAATTTCCTACTGTAAACATATCAAAACGTAATTTTTGATTAGTAATATGCATTGCTAAGAACTTCATTTGGACAACTTTAAAAAGGCAAATTTTTCAATATTTAGATTTTTTTTTTGCACCTTCAGATTCCAGATTTTCAAATAGTTGTATCTGGCCCAAATATTCTATCCTAACAAACCATACATCAATGGAAAGCTCATTTAGTCAGCTTTCAGATGATGTAAAAATCTCAATTTAAAAAAATTGACCCTTATGACTGGTTTTGTGGTCCAGGGTCACATATGGTTTGAACCTGTGCCTAGTACACACAGTTCCAGGGTCAATAATACCATAAATCAAAAGCATAATATTTAACAAATGACGCGAAGACCTGTTAAGCTGATCCAGCAGCTAGGAGTCATTAGAAGAATCGACATGATCCTTCTGATCCTTTACTACTATTACTGTTCAAGAGTTTGTAGACAGTAACTTAAAAAAACAAACAAAAAAAAAACCTTGTGCAGAAAACCAATAAAAATATAAATTATAAGCACTTTTATTTTATAGCAATTTCATTTGAACACAAACAGCGGCCAAATTAGGCAACAAATGCTAATCATGACATTATGATGCCATTGTTGCTAAGCATCAAAGCATCCACACAAAAAGAATGACATTAATTAGTTTCAGAATGCTGTAGACTGTCATGCTAGCCATTCTAATATTTCATTCTGTTTGCAGGTAACTGACATTAAACTTTGTAAAAAATATTGAAAAGAATAATAAAAATAATTCAATTTCAAATGCTGAACTGTACATTTTGAAAAGTGCAATAAGCATTTATTATTTTGAAAACATAGAGCTAACATTTGTTGAAAACTCAAATGTATCAAACAATGCCTTTATCTTCAGTGGGAAGAGCAGAGGGTTCCAGGCCACATTGTTTCATCTGCACAGCTATGTCAAATAAGTAGTCATAACATTCACACCTGAAAAATAACACGGATTTAAAATATAAATATTGTATACATACACAGAATATAGGCCTGAGGTGTGCATTTCATTTCCTATAGCTCACATTGTCTTTGCTTTCTCCCAGGTCTCTCCCCAGACGTAGACCCCATGTCTGCGGACGAGAACAGCGCAGGAGTCGGGGTACATCTCCATGGCTCGGGCCATGCGCTCTTTCAAGTCTTTCTCTTCTGGGGTGTTCTCAATAATTGGAACAACTAGAGTGTCATCATACCTGAGTCAAAACACACACACAAACAGTAAAGTAAAAGCAGTATTTTAGATGCTGGCATTACCATCACAACTATTCATTTTTGGATGAAATACTATTTGACAAGAACAACGTTACATGTTACTAATGTAAAATGGCATGAGTGAAGCATCTTTGCAGCAAGTACAACCTGTAGTTTGTACCAGAGTTTCCTTTTCGAATCCCCTTGATCATCTCTTGATGCGTGATGCGGAATTCCTTGCCAGGACACATGAGAGTTGCCATGACAGCAGACTTTGAGTGTGTATGGATAACTGCCTGAGCTCCTGTGGAAAAGAAATGACAATGTATTTTAGATACAGTACAGAACAAAAGCAACCCACTGTGTGTGGACAGGTACCTCTCATTGTGTAGGCGTTCATGAAGAGGGGCGTGCATTGGCTTTTCTTCAGGTTCTTCTGTGGAGGTGGACAACTGATGTCTTTCTCATCAATGTCACACACAAACAAGTCTTCTGGCTATAAACAGGAGTGGAAGGATAGTTTGTTGGTGTTATTTCATTACACGCCGCAACGCACACTAGTGATGTGTGGTGCGTATGCTACAATTTAAAAAAATAAATAAAAAAATACCTTACTTGTATTCTCTCCTTCTGAACACCTGAGGGAGCTATATAAATGTGCTCACTGGAAGAAGAAAAATATTATACAGTACATTTCATAACTTTGTAAGTACATGGGTACATGCATGTTTTTAATTTCTGAATTAAAAATTATTTTGATGGGCATTAAAGTGATGAAAAATCAACCCAGGAATGAAAATTGTCATCTTTTACTCACCCTCATGTTGTTCCAAACCTGTATGACTTTGAGTCAACTTTAAAACACAAATTAAAATATTCTTAATGAAACCTAAGAGGTTTTTGTTCCTCTGTTGAAAGTCCAGGCAACCAACAAAAGTTGTAAAACGAATTCATATGAATCGAGTGGTTTAATCCAAGTCTTGAGAAGTAGTATCATTGCTTTGGTAACACTTTAGAATAGGGAACACATATTCACTATTAACTAAGAGTTTTCCCTGAACAAACTCCTAATTTATGGTTTATTAATAGTTAGTAAAATAGTTGTTAAGTTTAGGTATGGGGTGGATTAAGAGATCTAAAATCCTGTCATGCAGAACAAGGCATTAATATATGCTTTATAAGTAATAATAAACTGCCAATATGCTAGTAATATGCATGCTAATAAGCAACTAATTAATAGCTAAAATTTGGTCCTTAAAATAAAGTGTTACCATTGCTTTATATGATGAACAGATTTAATTTAGGCTTTTATTTGAATCTAAGCAATGGTCAATGCACAAACATATAGTGCATCACATATGGTTCACAAGGAAGCTTGTGTACAGTATATCACTTTTTTCTTTTAAGATTTGGTTACCTGGGCCCGCATTCATAAAACTTCTTAGTGCAAAGTGTTGCTCCTAGTGAGAAAAAATTCTAAGCAAATTCTTAGAAATGCGGGAGTTTTTTTCTTAAAATTAAAGAGAAGATCCTAGTAAAGATAAAAGTTATTCACAAAGCATCTTAACCCTTAAAAGAGCTCTTAAGGTCAAAAGGTGTTAGGAGTAGGAAGGAGGACCTTTAAGAGGCTTGAGACTTTCTTTAGCAGAGGAGAAAATGGCCGCAAGATGAAGAGGGAGAAGAAAGGTGTTAATAAGACGCTACAGATTAGATCGTGCAGGGATCATGTTTGTGACCGATCTTATTAGAGACACGACAACATCGCAGACACAGTGCAGAAATGCCATAGTGCCAGAAATGAATATATATTTCTACCATGGTCTGTCTGAATAGTCTACTCAGTTCTCATTGGCTGGCAGGTATGCATTAAAACCGTTTAATGCTCAGGTAGTTACAACTTCCAAGTCAGTTGAATCGCCTTTCTATATTAATGCAATGGTTTCATTGACACACACACACACACACACACACACACACACACACATCTCACACAGAGACGCTGCCCCACGACTTTTATTAATAAAATAGCTTAGATACTGGATCGCTACATTATATTCCTCACCATCGAGGGGGTAAAATTGCTGTTTTTGAAGTAATTTAGGCCTGTTATTTCAAAGTGAAGGCTTAGACCAGTGGCCAGTAGCATGAAGCCGGTTTCAGTTTTTACCCAGGTAAGGTCGTGTTTAGTTTGAGCAAACTCTGAGTTTTCGGGCTCAAGAAGGTGGGTTGGTTTTGAGCGGGTTTCGTCACCATGGTAACTTATGCTACACGGCTGAGTTAGAGATCGCAAACCAAAGCTGGACCAATCAGCTCTGAGCAAAGTAACACATCTGATGCAATAAAGCCACCCCCCTTTATCTCTCACTACAAATTAAAGTTTATAGTGATAAAATGTTAGAGACAAATCTTTTGCTGCTAATTGTTTATTATATTTATATTTTATAGATTATGATTATGTATAATTCATATAATATATTCATATAATTAATTATATGAGTTAACAATTAATATTAAGACTATAACTATATATAAATACAAGGTTCAGTATATAAAGCTTTTTAAACTGATGAAGCTTTGTTTTTTTTTTGAGCTCCTTGTAATACAAATTATTTAAATTCAGTTGATTCACTTGCATTGATATAGTTAGTAGCTGCCTTCTCAAACTTTTACTGCAGCAGTGTTTATTCCTGCCTTGTAAATGTGTTTCAATTCATGGTATTTTTTCATAATCTCTTCATCTTCAACAGAGAAGTGAACTGCGCTGACTCTTGCGAGAAGTCAATCAAACTGATGCTTTCCATGTTCCGTGTGATTGGCTGTTTGCCGCACGTGTCACACTTTCAGGTGTACGCGCCTCACAAACTCTGGATCAAACATGAGTTGACAGAGAACATTTATACCAAGCGTTGCGCAACAGCTGATCCTGATCTAAACCGGGTTGGGTTTGTCAGGTTTGGTCAGCTCAAACTTACTCTGCAACTCTGAGTTTGTTCATCTCACTTCGTGCTACAGGCCACAGGGGTCAAACTCAGTTTCTGCCCTGCAGAGTTTAGTTCCAACCTTGCTCAAACACACATACCATGCAGTTTTCAAATAAGCCTGAAGGACTTGATTAGCTGGATCAGGTGCATTTAATTAGGGTTGCATCTAAACTCTGCAGGGCTCTGGCCCTCCAGGAACTGAGTTTGACACCCCTGATTTAGACCCTATTTAAAAGCTCAGTCTTCAAAAGAATGTGTCATACCTAGCATTGCGGGGTCAGCCCCGCCTCCTCACTAACATTAAAGTTTTTGTCTTTTCCTCGCTCAGAGTTGCTCTCTGATTGTTCCTGAATCACTCTTAAACTAAGACTGCTAGTTAGAAATTTTTAAGCTAAATTAGGACCTCTCTGAGAGGATTCTTAGAAGCTTTAAGAATATGGGCCCTGGACTTTCAATGGAGAGACAGAAACCTTTTCATCTGTGTTTCAAGGAAGAACCAAAGTCTTATGGGTTTTTGAACAACATGAGGGTAATTATTGACAGAATTTTCATTTTTGGGTTTAAGTCACAAACATGGTGACACAACTATCCCAATATAAAAATGAATAAAATAAGATAAAATAATACTACAGGTGCATCTCAATAAATTAGAATGTCGTGGAAAAGTTCATTTATTTCAGTAATTCAACTCAAATTGTGAAACTCGTGTATTAAATAATTTCAATGCAAAAAATAAAGATTATCTTTTACTCTTTTATAGTACATTGGTCTAACCATTATGCAGAAAATATAGACCAAATTAGTTAAATATAATATAAGGTATAAACGTTTTTCTTATGAATCCAACATGAATACAAAGAGTCCATCTGTAAGAATTTGGTACATCTTTTTTAAGACCTTTCCATTTCTATTTCGTGAATACCTTTTACGTCACTGACCCAAACAGCAAGTGAATATTGCAGAACAGTGGATTTTATTATTGGTGTAAAATGTCTTGACTAACCCATGCCGCAGGCTTACTCCTCCCCCGGTTCCTGTCACCCAGCCCAACTCATAGAAGAGTCTGCAGAGCTCTGGGATCAGCACACGAGGATGTTCCTGATCCTTCAACAACAACATAAGATCTGTTACTGCATAACACACACCCCTGATCAGATTTGTAATTGACTCGATAAGAAGGAACCTTATAAACTTCTGAGAAACAAACAATATCGAGGATTTCAGAGATTAAACAAAACCAGGGACAAGGACATAATATTTATAGTTTTACCCCTATTCCCTTTCCGTTGCACTCCGCGTGTACAGTGTTCACGATCGACGACATATTTATCACACTGAAAAAAATAAAATAAATAAAATGATGCGGAAAGAGGCTCAAGATTTTATGATTAACATTTCAGTTAGTTTCGAGGCACAAAACAGCTCAAACCAGCGCGTGATCAAACAACAGCAAGCGCTGCAGCGGAAGACGGAAGTGCAGATCTTTAAAAGATAAAAGACCCCCAAACAAGTACGTATGTACATCAAAACTTTATACAGTCTATGATCCAAACACACACACGCGCGCCTAAATTGGCAATAGCATAGAATCGTATTGATTTTATATACAGCAAGATATTTTTTATTTTTATTTTATTTTATTTAGTCATTTATCAGACGCTTTTATCCAAAGCGACTTACAAATGAGGACAATAGAAGCAATCAATTGTAGTATTAAAATAACTAAAAACAGATCCAAAACCTTAAAGCTAAAACTTTATAAATACTACCTATACACATTTTAAAAATAAAGAGATTAAATAAAAATGCATACAACAACATTTCAAAACTTAACATTTAAATGAAAAACAAAAAATAAAGCTAAAAACAATTCAAAATATTAAAGAACAAAAGGTATAAGAGTATAACAATGATTCTAACATAACACTAAGCCAAACACCAAAAAAAACCCAAAAAAACTACATATGTGTATGTACAACCACACAACCACACACACATACATACATACACACACACACACACATATATATATATATATATATATATATATATACACGACCCAACGGAATGGCCAGAGGTGTCGTTTCCCGACATTTTTTGTTACCTAACTGAGCAAGAGACAGCTTAGGCTTGTGAAAGTAAACATTTGTCGTTTTGTTTTGCTTATTTTTTATAAAGTGATAAAGACTTGAGTAAAAGCCTGTCGTACTTTCTTATTGATATATTCAAACGTTTTGTAACATTGACAAAACAGGTAACATTAAGGTCCACTGAAGCGCCTTGCAATGCACAGCGTTATTCTATGTGGTGTGTGCTGCGGCTGCCTAATCATTTTCACAAATACATGCCGTAAAATAAAAAAATAACATGAAAATATGTATATAAAATGCCAAAAAAAAACATGGTTATTGGTTACTATAGTTACACCATGGTTAAAAACAACATGTTTTGCTACACTAACCATAGTTTAACCATGGTATTTGTAGTAAAACTGTGGTTATAGGCTACAATTGGTAATAAAAACGCAAAAAAACAAACAAAACAAAAAACATGGTTAGCCTACTATACTTTTACTATAGTAATGCCATTGCTAATTTTCGTAAGGGATTGTGTATAATAATATGAAATAAATGTTTTAATAGATTATGACATCACAAAATATCAGGGAGTGAGATTTGTTTGATTGCGATGCGAAGGAGGGCTACTCTAAGCCCCATCAGAACTGGGCTGCGGTGCAGGGGGACGGGAGTAATGACAGATCATTGCAGTGTATCGGTCATATACATCGTCAGATCAGGATTTTTTTTTTAACTTATTAGAGGTACAGAACGCCACACAGCAAATTTTCGGCATTGCACCAAGCAAAAATCAATCGAAATCATCACAAAAAAAGTAAAGATCAAGCGCCTAACAAGGTCTCCACGCGTTAATTCGAATGGTTTGTTTTCCCCCTCGGCATCAGTGTTGCCAACTAATTTTAATGGGACGTTGCTAAAGGAAGGTCGATTTGTTGCTAAAAGTTGCTAAATGTGCCATTGTCATTGTGCGATGATGTCATCACGACGCAAAATTGTGTCACTGCATCAAATCTCAGCAAAAAAATATAATTTATATATGTTAATTTCGATTTGTTCTTAAAATAATATAAATGCATAATATAATAGGCCTAATATTAAAATATAAATAACTGTATTTTTAAATACAACATTAAATTATTGAACACTTACACATTTTTAACAATTACATTTTTACATACAAAACACACTTGAATCAGGAAATACATTTTTTTTATTAGCTAGTAAAAAAATGTTATTAGCACATTCTGAACAATTAGTTTTAAGCAGTGTATTAGTAGTTTGTTAATATGCTACACTCTAAGAAAAGCCTGTAAAAATAGTCTACTATGTTAATATGAAGGAATTTTCCATATTGATTTTTCACAGGTTTTTTTACCTACATTTTAAATTCCGCATTGTATTTAGTGTTTTTGGGTTACAGGGTTACAACGGATAATGGATAAAGTCCTGGAAAATTACTACCTTTTCCATTTCTACAATTTTCCATTCCAACTGAACAACAATCACAGGTACAAGCTACTAACAAGGTGTATCATAATAGGTGTGTTCGACTTGAAGCGGCGCTGCGCAGACCGATCGGGGTATGACATCAAAGTACCGTGAGAGCTAATAGAGAGCAGACGGACCTGCATGATTTCTAATCGCTCTCGCGGTGCTTTGATGTCATCAATCTGCACAGCGCCGCTTCAAGTCGAACACACCTATTATGATACACCTTGTTAGTAGCTTGTACCTGTGATTGTTGATCAGTTAGTTGATCTAGAAAAATGGAAAAGGTAGTAATTTTCCAGGAATTTATCCATTATCCGTTATCCATTATCCGTTGTAAGGATAATCCACTTCTTACCTCCAAGACTGTGTTAGGATCTGTATGACCTTATTATTTTTATTGTGAGAATTAGGCTTATTATTATTGCTGATTGCTATTGTTGTGCTATGATATTGTAATATTTACCATTATATAATCAGAGGGGTATAGAAAAGTTTATGAAAGTATCACTACATAATACAATAGCAAAATATATAAATACGTATAGTATTTTTATGTTACATTAATCAGTATTTAGCACACCTTCCTAAGGAAAGGATATGGACCAGAAGACATTGCAATTACTAAATGATATTTAGACAGACTTAAAAAAGTTCCAGATCTATACTTGTGCCCTTATTATTAGACTTTTTCTAAGTATAAGTCAAGAATACTTAAATGTAATTTAAAGTATATTTCTGAGAAGTACATAAAGCCCATTTCTGAGACGTACATAAAAAAATAGACTAAAAGTATACTTTCCTATTTTTAGTTAAAAAGAAGTATACTAATAGCACACTTGAATAACCTTATTTTTCGTAAGGGTAGGCATCTTTGGTTTCCTTTTTTTGTCTAATTTAGATGGAAAATGTGTGCCTTTTTATCGTTTGAGTCACTTAACAAAAGTTGCTAAAAGTTGCCAAAAAAAAAAAGCTACATTTGTTGCTAGGTGCTTTTGGAAGAAAAAGTTGCTAGGGTAATCTGAAAAGTTGCTAAATCTAGCAACAAAGTTGCTAAATTGGCAACACTGCTCGGCATAAAAGGTTATGACGTTTTTGTGGGCGTTCCCAGCAATGCCGAACAAGTCAATTTCAATGAAACGGGTTGTTGGATAACTTTTATTATATATGAATTGTTTATATGATCTTAGCTCCACATTTGTTTTGTAAATCCATTTTGTGAACTTTATGTGTGTTTAGAAATATATTAAGGAAATTAGTGTGTTTTTGTAAATGCATGACTGCACAAACTGACTCATAGTTTACAGCCTTAACACTGAGCCCAAGAACGTGACTTTATTAAACCTATTCTATCACACAAGTTGGACACAGTTTTGATACTGGCCACTTGCACAATTATGCAGCTCATGGTCTTTCATGAACTTATAATGATAACTCCAGAAAAACAAATATCCTTTATAGCCTGGAATGATAAATAATGCTTTCCCCCTTTCTCAATATGTTCCAATGTCATAGACTGAATTGACTCAAGAGACTCATGATACTTCTGATAAACTTCATAGGTAAAATGTTAAGGAAATTGCCAAGTTATTTAGTAGTTTATTGAGTTCCATTTAAATCCACAAGATCCAACATGAAAAAAAAAAATGTGATAACCTCCTACCAGCCACCTTCACTTTCTTCCCGCACTTGAATCAGGAAGTGAACGTGTATCAGCACACATGAGGGCGAGGCCATTTTCCACACACCTGAGTCAGCCACACCACAGCATGTTCTCACTGACTCACCATAATACATGAGGCCACCCTCATGTGTTCATGGTATTCATAGTATAGTTAGGTTTAAACCTGGGTTAAGGGTACATGCAGGCGTATTTATATAATTTAGGGTACATTTCACATCAGGAAAAGGTTGCAAAAACAATATGCTTTCTCAATAAACAACTATTGGTTTCAGTTTATACATTTTATCAGTGTAACTTATCTGCTAGTTGCCAAGCCTAATCATTAAACTATTTTGATATTACCAAAAAAAAAAAGTTTTTCAGTTTGTCAACTATGTTGCCAATTTCACCATTTTGACTAATTTCAATGGCAGGCCTTGTCTGGCCAACCAAATATTATTTTCTTGAGCCGGTTAACATCAAATTGTAATATTTATTTGAATTAAAATCATAGAACAATTGCAAACAATAATAATGTACCCAACATAGTTGACAGGATAATAATATACTCCTTGACAATAAATCATTGGAGCTCAAACATAGAAAAAAACAAAAACAAAAATTATCATAATGTGTTCATAATGTCTGCCGCAGAAGAAAATGCCATCACATGACACTGGTCACAGTTTTAAAATAAACCATTTTTTAGTTTTTAGGGGGTATTTGGTAAACAAAATTCAATTTCTGAGGTATTTAGATTGTAGAAATAAACTTAGTTAATTAATAGATAATCTTGACTTTGACATTTTTATTCATTATTATGAACTCAAGACTCACTCAATTCAAAAAGCGGAATTGCAAAAACTGTAATTTTTTTACATAATTTTTTTTTTGACAAGACATAAAAAGACATTTTCAAGCCAACCGAAAAACAGAGTGCACAAAATATATGTCGTATTCTCTTAATTGATCAAATTTGATATTTCTGAAAAAAATAGTTAGAAATAAACACAATTCCATCAATGACATGAAATGTACCTAAATTATGGAATGACCCATGCATATACAGTATATATTTTACCAAATATTTATATAAGTACAAAAAAATAAAATAATATGCACAGTAAGTGAATTGCATCAAATTATTAATTTATTACTTAGTACATAGTAGTTAAAGGCACTGAATATAACGTGGGTCCAATGTTTTATACAATGTTCTGTAAGTGACTCCCTTCAGTTGAACACATTAATCATTTTATTTGGATCAGTGCAAATAATACAGTACAAAATGACTACACATGTACTTAATGCAATACAAAAATTGCAGCATGCATAAACAAACTGGTCACTGTAACTCCAGATTAACCAGAACTGTTATGCAGATGTGTCTGACATGTTAATGGCTGCACAGACGCAGATAGAGAGGAAGCGTGAGAGACAATGACAAGGGTGTGTTCTTCATAGCACCACCCATCATGTGGAGTGTGTCACCGAGTACTTTAGTCTGAGCATATAAAAGAGGTGAGATACATCTCTAGAGGGTTCAGAAAATTACAAAGACTGGAAGAGAATCAAAGCATTTTAAGAACCATACCGGTTCAGGGCCAACAAACAGGTATACTTCCCTTTATCTAGCACATGACACAGCACTGAACATGTGGACTTTGTTACTTGTATTTGCTACTGGATCACCAGCTCTACTTCAGGCTGCACCTGTTCAGGGTGAGTGATGGTGAACTTACTTTTTTATCTCAGAAGGAATTACTTATTTATCTCAGAAGTGCTTTGGTGGCGAGTGTCTTTACACACCTTGTAGTCGTGGTCAAGACAGATTTACAATTGCAAGATGAGGTCATACTTGCGATACTGATATGAATGTAGTAGTGAGATTGTAACCCTTTTTGCTTTTCACAGCAAAGGCTATGGTTACAAAGCCCATAATTAATCTGCAGGTATGACAATTTCAGCTGACTTCTGCTGTTATCTGTGAGACTTTAAAGACTGCATCCATAGAGGAAAAACTGAATCATAAAGGAAAATGAAAAGTTCCCACATTTCCACTCATACATTTGAATAAGTTTTCCAGTTAATCGTGAGTACATAATTTATAGATTTACATTTGCATTTCAGGTACGGAATTAATAAATTAAAACGATTATTCTTATTAAATCTTCAAAACAGTCAGGCTGATAAATTGCTAATATTATTTTGTCTAAAAATAAACAAATAAACAAAACAAAAATAAATAAATAAAATCAATCATTTGAAATGCTACAAGTGAAATTAGGTATGTACATTATAAAAATGCATATCTGAGATTTGATAAAAATGACATTTAACAGTGTTATCAAATTTTTAAAGATTAACTTTAAGTGATTAAAGCGTTAGATAATGGCTAAAGTCATTTTAAGGAACAGATGAATGTGAATAAAGATTTTTGGAGACTATCTAGTCTTTTATCGTTTACTTTTAGTGCATTGAAGATGTTCTCTGTAGATAAATTTCAGAATATATGGCTTAAGATAAAGGCCTAGGTTGTATCACATAAACTTTATATCTTTATGAATGACATTTAGATCTGACAGGTTTTAACTGATATCAGTATGGCTACAGATAAGATAAGTTCCAGAGTAATGATCTTTCTGTAATATGGCCCCTGGCTTGTTAAGTTTATTGCACATATAACACATCCTCTCAGTTCCACAAGAGTTTATTAATCTCATATGCCTCCTCAGACTTTAACTTCATTGCAAAAAAATATTTTCTTACTCAGTATTAATGTCTTGATTTCCAGTACAAATATCTAAACATTCTTAAATCAAGATCCAAAATGACATAAGCTATTAAATCTTGCATATGAAATGATTTTCAAATTTAAGTGAGTTTTTGATTAAAACAAGAAAAAAATCAACTCATTTTGTTTGAATTTTTTTAAGCATAATTTTGCAAAACCTAATATCTTAAGTCATACATAACCTAATAATTTTAAGCAAAACCTAAGTAATTTTGCCTCTTTAGTAATGTATGTGGATTTCGAGACAGTCTGGAAATCAAGACCAATATAGTGTCTCAATCCATCTAGTAGCATACCTGGTTTCTTCTAGTCACATTAAACTCACTTATTCTGCACACTATTTATCACTTGTTCCTATCACTAATTGATGTCTTTAAAATCATATGCTGGTCTAAACGTGTTATTCTGAGACAAAAACGAGAGGTCATTAACAAAGTCAGTGGATTACAGATGGCCTAGATGTGTTACAGATGTGCTCACGTCTGCACATGCAATGAGTCATTAAGAGATTTATCTAATGATACCTAATGCTAAATTGCTCATCCGTCACACACACATCTGGCCCTCGTTTACAAACTAATAATTAGTATGATCACATGGAAAACAATGAATAAATAAATAAAGATTTCTGATTTTGAATATTCACATTAGTTTCCCTTTCGACAGGTTCCAGTGGCAGATGCAGCGTTGCCGGTGTTTTCCTTGTTGAGGGAACCAGCCGTTACTCTCTTACTTTCCAACAAGCTTTGGAATTGTGTCAGAGTTTTGATTACAAACTCGCAACACAGGAACAGGTCAATGACGCTTATAAAAAAGGCTTGAGAACATGCAGGTAAAGAAAGCAGGCTGTGCACAATAGCCTAGAGCTAAATAACATGTTCGGACATAAAAGCACTTCTTTTGATATTGCTTAATGACAGTACTTCATTTTTAAATGAACCTCACACCTTTGTTTAGATTTGGCTGGCTAGATGGACAAAATGTCATGTTCCTCCCACACGTTAATGGTCCAAACTGTGACTCCAGTTCCACCGAGATCACCTTCCATCCTGAAGCAGCAGGGTATCTTTCTGATGTCTACTGCTTTAACCCATCAGGTGAGGGTATAAAGAAACTGGGGTATCTTACAGAGAAACACCATAAAAACAAGCATACTACAAACAGGTTTTGTCTTATTGACTTTTGATTTCCCTCCTACAAAGATGCATCACTAAACTGTGAAGATACTGGTAAATCTAACTCTGAAGACTTAACCAATGGAAACACAGCCACAGCAAGTAAGTTCCCTCTATAATTCCTTGCAGTACCTAGAATTAGATTTTGATATCATGTGCTTTATTGTAGACTTTTTGCCTTAAATGGCTTAGACTTTTGGTGCATTAACTTTACCTTTTGAGTTGAGGGGTGTGTATTGTGAAGAAGCAAGACATGCAGCAGACATACAATTCGTTGTTCATTATCCAACCACACCTAATCCAAAGCATTAGTCATATCTCTGTGACCTCATGCATTTTTTTACGCACTTGCAGTACCACAAAGAAGAAGGAACGAAAAGTTGCTGATTTTATTTGAGCACTCAGGAAGTGATTCCTGGTTCATTATTGTTTCTTGCTTAACCATTCACTCTGTACCAACGTAGCAAAGTATCTCGACATTCCACTCTTTTATTTTGCTTTGCTATCAGCACAGAAATGCAAAACACTGATGTATCATTTAAAATATGTAAGCTTTTTGGCAGTAATCCTTTATCTGTTTTCTTACGAAGATGAAAAATCACATGAAGACATTCTTACGGAGGTCGAGACTGAAGGCTTTCTAGTAGATGTGGAGGAGATAATGGGAAGAGTAAAAAGAGAAACTTCTGTTCTGAATGACATGGAGGTCCCCGTGAAATCCTCAACTGTGCATGCCTTGGAGGAACCCTCTACAACGACACACAGTGAAGACAGCAAGGGCCCTACAAGCAAGCCCCGTTTTGTGAAGAGCTCATCCCCTGTTACCTCCAGTGTTTTGTTCTCTGATACAGAGGGCAGTGGATCAGCATCAGATAATGAGACATTGTTTACAGATCCTGAGCCTAGTCTATTCACAATAACAATGACTGCCACAGAGGCAGCTGAGAGTACATCCATGCCAAATGAAATTAAGAAAACTCCAATTGTTGTAATCAAAGGTCGAAAAATGGAAGCCAGTCTTGAAGGTAAATATCCTTAACAATCCTGACCCTTATATAATGGATATTGTTGGGGTTGGTGGGGGATCATAAAGGCCAACATAGTGTCAGTAAGAATTGTGTGGCAGACATGTGCCTGGTTTCTATGGAAGCCTGCTCCACTTCAGAGTAAAAAAAAAAAAAAAAAAATGTAACTTGAAAAATTGTAATTGCAACTTTATATCACACAATGATATTTCTAATAATTAAAGATAAATAAAAAAATGTCTTAATATTTTACAGTTTTACTTTGTATTGCACAATATGACTATATTTCAACTTCATCTCCAATTACCCTTTTTTTAGTCTAAGCCAAAAATATTTTGTTTCCATAGGATATTGACAATAGTTATATAAATAAGCTGCATTATAATTAATATTAATGTTTAATATCATGTGGTACATAACGTATTTGCTTAATATGTTGATATACATTTTGTAATGATGTTATATAATACAGTGTGTTAAGTCATCAAGTCTCATTACAAATGTATCTTCTGCAGGCACACAGAGTGGCCAAGAAAAGAAAGATGGACCATCTAGTAAGTTCTTGTGACAGCACTACAGCACTTCTTGACTTTTCATTCAACTTACATAATGTAATCTGTCAATTTACCATTTTCTCCCTTCTACAGCTTTGCTGATAATCTTTGCATTCTGTGTTGTTGTTGGAGTCATAGTATGCATACTTGTTGCTATTGCTACTAGAGACAAGTAAGCTTGCTTGTTAGATTTTTTTTTTCATTGATTGAATTCATCACATTCATCAGCCATTGCAGCCTGGCTTCAGTTTACTAAATGTAAGTCTTTACCTAGGTGGTACGGACCGAGACAGAGCGGAAACATCACAAGTGAAGAGCACAACAAAGACTACAGTAAATCAGAAACACTGCCTCTGTCAGAGAAAGAACAGGAGATCGTGGCACTGATGAGTGTTGAGAAGCTGAAGAATGGTAAAATGGAGGACATTGCTGCCTGTCTGGATGAGCGTGAGAAAGAGTATTTAATGTAATGCTTTAAATCCTGTGTATTAACAGGTTCGAACTCTTTTGTACTTTTTATTTGCACTAGTGATGTTTTTTTTAATGATTTTTTAATGCAATTTCCTTCCGTTTTTGTTGCTTCAAAATGCTTCGTATTTCACATTTCTTTTCTAATATAAAGTATTTTTTTTCTCAGTAATAAATAAAGGCTTATTATCTCTTACTGAATGATGGTTAATAATGATATGGTGAGAAAACATTTTTATACTGGTTTTCATCTGTTCGTAAGTACTATGTACTGTGTGAGATATGATGCATTTTTGAATGTTAGACATTGCCCTTTATAAGAAACCCTATGCAGTTTGTAATGCAATGAAGCAATTGTAAATCATTTCATTTTTTAAATTACCCATAAAGATGTATTTTGTCAAGCTCTCAGAGCACATTTATGGTGGGATGAGTCTTTCAATAAAACATGACATTTGAACAAGGTATGAGAACTTTAATTAGTTCAGTTATAGAAGCTGGATGTAAAAATGAATGAGTGTGATTTAAAATCATATGATAAATACAATTTACCCTTTTACATTTTATTTATTTATTTATTGTGCATCACTGCCAAAGATCTGGAGAAAGAAAGAAACGCCACTGAGACAAGAAGCATTGACTTTATTTACATTTTGTTATAGGTTTTTCATAGAAAAATAGAGGAAAAAGACAAGATCGTGTTGCTATGGAAGTAATAACAGACTACCAAATAAGTGGTGCAAATGTAATAATAGATCTCAATTCTGACATCTCTTTTCTGTTACATGCTAACAACCTGAGCACCAAATAACTTGAGATACAATTTTTGTTAACATAAATCACTGTACCTCTATGCGTCAGGCCCTGCTTGAACAGATATTCTAACAGTGCACACTTTTATATTATAGATACCGTATCTAGGTTGTGTATAATTTCCTTAAGATACATACTCAAGATCTCTGTACTCTACAAGGCTGTTAAATCTGTAACAAGCCTGGTTTAAATTGATTATTAATTTGACTTTTTCCCCTGGAGTCATTATTCCTACCAGAATGTTTAACAATACACAATTTTTGAGATACAATATCATCATGAATTGTAACAGTGAAAAATATGCTTACATTAATATACATACATTTTTTCTCATCGATGTTTCACAGCCACAGTTCACAGCAAGTTCCCTGTGACTTGTACTGTATTATAGCAATAACTACTCAAGACAACCCGTTACAATCTAATCTACCTAGTAAAATACTGAATTGAATACATGGATTGCCATTGTTTTATAAAACAATAGGCAAAAAGCAATGAAATTCTACACTTTGATTTGCATAAAAAATATATCTAAAATAGAACCACATACATGTGTATTTATTTATATACAGAAAGTGCAAGGAGGCACTTTAATGAGAACATTTTAAGATTCTGGTACAAAAGAGGAACGCCGATCGTGTTGCTGTGGAAGTAATAACAGACTACCAAATAAGTGGTGCAAATGTAATAATAGATCTCAATTCTGACATCTCTTTTCTGTTACATGCTAACAACCTGAGCACCAAATAACTTGAGGGCCTCTCTTATCAGTGTGAATATAGAATCCATTTAACTGGACATAATATCGGAGTATCCAAGAAGGCTCCTCAGAGAATGAAACACTATTACTGGTCTAAGATCCAAGAAAACGGGATTGTATTTAATATTAATGTCATAGTCTTCTGTCTGCAGTTTGCAGTTGAAATCTTCAAGGCAAGATTGTAACTTAGCAAATAAATACATAAATAAATCGACAACTTAAAGCACACAGATACATACAAAACCTACACACATGCAAGTCCCTTCCCTCAAACATAAACACGCATGGACACTTATTAAAGTCTGAATGAAAACTATTCAGTCCACTATGCAGGATATTAAACTCAACGGTCCTTGCAAATAACGTCAATTGACTCAATGTCATACTTCATGTCTGATCGCTCTGTAATTGCTGACGTGGCATTTACGTCGGGCAGCATCTAAAAATAAGTGGCAGCATTTGGAGGCAAACCACTATTTCAGAACCTTTAAGTACCTTGGTAAGCTCTTATAAGAGGCTGATCTGGAGTGCTGCCACCAAGGGTTAATCCACCTAAGCTGAGCCAGCCAAAGGTATCTTCAGCAAACAAGCTGCACTTCTCTCCTCCTGCCACTAGTAGTGCTCTAGGGTCAATCGGGGGCTGGACAAACCATTGCGATCCTTCTATGCGGAAGCCTTATAAGGCTGCAGGTTTCAGACCAATCCTCAAACCCAAGGCCTAGAATTCTAACTATCGTAATCCTTGAGTGTAAATAATAACAGCTCAAAATGTAGCCTGTCCTCTATCCCAACTGAACCACCCGCTACTTGAGCTACGTTCTCTTCCCTTTGTGTATCAAATGTACTGAGATTGTCATACAAAAGTCAATGCTTGTGCATATGAAAAGTTCTGTCTGTGGTAACTTCTGACTGTTTATATGTACAAAATTAGCATTTGGTTTTCACCAGAAAGGATAAGCTTACGGGACTCAGGATAAGGCGGAGCTGGATCTGTGTTACTCGCGTATCCATGGTTCCTCCTCAACAAGTGAGAAGTCTGCAGGGGAGCCATTTGAGGCCAAGGTTACCTGAAAGCAATTATCAGGAACAACTAACTGTTGGACCAAGGCACAGTCAAAATGCATTAACCGGTGCTTACTAAACTGTTTATGGTTTGGAGCAGAGAATCCAGGTAGTTTGATATTTTAACAGCACAATTTATATCCGAATTCACAGAAATGTACCCACCACCAGACAGATAATAATTAGCTGCAGCAGATTCCTTACAGAATGCTGAAAGACTGAATACAGATAGAGAAAATCATTTGAATCATTATATTTTATAAATATAAACTTTGTATTTTTTATTTTTTTTACTAAGTACAGTGAATCTCTGCCCAAAACTAATCTTCTAAAGGGTTTGTGAAAAAGTGCCACATGGGCTACCACACAGACCTATGCATTTGTGAAACACAGGGTCAAAAAGAGGCATAAAATTCACAAAAAAGAGAGAAAACAGCTGCAGTTTTAAAAACATTGAGCTTGAAAGAAATGAAATAGCAGCCTTTGTTGTCTCAAAATGTAGATGGTAAAAATGAGGCATGCATTAATACACTGTTTGTTTCACTTTCATTTTTGGTTGAGAACAGCGAAAGGCATCTTGGCATTAGTACTATACAAACCTTTGAACGATTTACTGTGCTCATGTGTATAATTGCCAAACTGATGATATCCAGATACTGATATGGATATACAAAGTCTGTACAAAAACTGCTATTTCACCAAGGACCAGAACAAATAAATAAACCATATTTATTTATTCCTTCATTCTGTTTAATGTATTATGCATTCACATCCGGAATGACCAAAAAATACAAAAGTGTAAAAAAAAAAAATCACAATGGTACATACAATGTCAGGGAAAGAAATAAAAGCATCTACATACAGGTTTCTATGTCTGTGAGAGTAAAATGTACCTTGCAGTCATCTATTTGGACCGGCTGACAGGAGTTGTGAGATGCATATACACCGTGGTTAGTGTTATTCTCAAAAAAGGATTGTGTCTTGGCCATCTCAAAGTCATCTGGCCTTATCTGCTGTGCATCGAACAGGTCAAGCTCATCTTTGGAGAGGTGGTACACGATTCCCGCCCCTTACGAGTCACCAACGACATTGACTGATGTTCGGAAACGATCACTGTTTGATAAAGCAGAAGGAAATAAAGAAAGGTGCCACATCTCTCAATACTAAACGACTCCAAATGTCATTAGGGCTTGTACTAACATGCAAAGCAAATGCCTAAACATGCCTTGAGATTTGCTTTAACAACAAATCTTAATCTGGGGATCAGTTGCATATATCTAGATCATATAATATAGATTGTGTCCTTAATTGGCAACTATTTCATGAGTTAATTTTTTTTTTTCCACTGAAAGAGCAGAGAGAGAGAGAGAGATTGGTTTAACTTACAGCAGCCAGTCGACTGCTACCAGTAAACTGATGTCTTGAGTCGGTAGACCCACAGCTGTCAAGATCAGAAGCATCGTCACCAGGCCAGCACTGGGAATACTTGCTGCTCCTACGCTAGCGAGAGTCGCCGTAAGGCTACAAACAAAACAGAAATCTTTCATTTGATAAGATCGTTCGTTTGATAACTGCAAACTTTAATACATCACATGACTCATTCTCACTTGGAAAATGGTATAATGTGATTTTATCAATAGTTTGCTTCAAACAAGTATACTGATCATTAAAGGAATAAATCTGCTAAAAAAAAGTTCAAGCCGTCATTACTTATTCACCCTAATGTCAGTCCAAAACCATATGCTGTGATGTGTTTTCTGTAGAACTGAGAAAGAGAGCTTTCAAAGAATCTTCATGCAGCTATCGTTCATACAGTTCATACTGACCATAAGCTAGAAATAATATATTTCCTAGTCTTCTGAAACAGTATGATATGAAATGTAATTCTTCATTTACTAATCACTCCTGCTAATGAGTTGTTAGCGGCTGCTACCTGATACAATAAGTCAAAGAGTTGAACTTGAAAAGTAGATCAGTCCAGTTCATTAAAGAAACCACTATTTTGAGCTGATTCTTTTCAATGACCTGGTTAATAGAATTCAAAAATCAAATTGTACTTTTCTTTCCTGACTCAATGATCCAGATGTACCCAGGAATACAGAGCACAATTTATATTAGACTACTTTTCTGGTGCTTTTTTGATGTCATCATGAGAGCTTGAAGACATGATTACTATGAACTGTCATTGTATGGCAAAAACTGCATAAAGATTCTTCTGTTTTTGTTTAATGGGAAAAAAATAACACTAAACAAGTTTGGAATGATGTTTTTGGAAAAACTATTCCTTTAATTTTATATAGCTACTTGCAGTGACTCAGCTCAGCAGGTACATGCCATCAGAATAGCATTTTTGTAAAGTATATTCATTTCTGCGTCCAGACATGTTGTCTTACCTGACTGTCACAATCTGACCAGGATCAAGTTCTATTCCATTCATCTGGGCAATAAAGATGGCCGCTACAGCCTCGTAAAGTGCTGTACCATCCATGTTGATTGTTGCTCCAACAGGTAATACAAAACGAGTCACTCTCTTGTCGATGCCCAGATTTTCCTCCAGACAGCGGAAAGTAACAGGTAATGTCCCAGCACTACAAAAGACGCATATCAAGATTTCAGAACAGATTCTTGTCATTATTCATAACTCAACTTCCAAACATGTCAAATTAAATAATTGCCTTCTCTTTATTTAACTCAATATGTGTCCTAATTCTCAAAGGTTTACAAAAAACAAGGCACAGTTATAGAAAATGTTGTTATTTACCTCGAAGCTGTTCCTAAAGCGGTGACCCATGCCTGGAAAATTCCCATGAAGAACGTGAATGGGTTTTTC